TTTCTCATGGAGTCCACATCCAGAAAAGGATAATACTGGGTTCTGTCAGGCAACAGGCATACTAATCAGTTGGAGTTGAGAATTAGCAAAGCCATTCAGTCCACACTGAGAACAACACAATTTTGATTCTGCTTGCTTTATTGGATTTTGTATAGAGACTGACCATACTTGACTAAAACCGTACCTGCCTATAAACCTTTTAAAATTTACACTGTATAAATGTGTTATTTCAGCAATTTGAAGCTATTGAAATATACATTTTTGCATGTAAACATTTTTGTTTCACATGCTTCCAACTCACAAAGATTTGTAAATACTTCAAAGTCCTTTTAAGGTACATCATAAAATGTTTATTTCTTAAAAGCTTAATTTACTTACTAGTAGAAAGTCAGATTTCAGATGAAAGAGAGACATAATGGAAGATCTTCCATGTGATGGTTCACTCCCCAAGTGGCAACATCAGCCAGAGCTGAGCAGACCCAAGGCCAGAAGCCATGAACCACCTCCAGGTCTTGCACATGTGTACATGGTCCCAAGGCTTTGGGCCATCCTCAATTGTTTTCCCAGGCCACAAGCAATGAAGTGGAAGAGCTGGGACATGGACTGGTACCCATATACAATCACAGCATGTGTGCAAGTAAAGGACTCTTGCTTCTAAGTATCACACCTCACCCAAAAATGATTCTTGTAAGTCCTAAATCCACAATTCATCTTAAAAGTTGATTACAGTAAAAGTTGTCAAGGGTTACAGGACAGTGAGTAAGAACATTATTTCCACACCAAAATTAATTTTTTTTTCTCTATGTGAGTTCAGGGGAAAAACAAATGGATAAACCCCAACCATCCAAGGTCCATGATGTGGGGCATGCTCTGAGGGTCATGCTGAAGCAGTTTTGATAGTTCAACAGGTCTGAATGACTGCCAATCTTGCTGTTCCAAGCACGAAGAAATCTCTTCAGAATTCACATGGTGACATACTCTCTTTATGGTTGGGGTTCTGAGATCAGCAGTTCAGTAGGAGGGCTCTCCAAAGAAACTTCATCTGATGTGATCCCAGACCAAATTCTTGTGTGTGTTTGCCAGTACAGGGTCCAGCACAGTCCATTGCCCCAATCACTTTATGCACATGCTTGTGGTTCCAATTGTTGGGTCAGTTTTGTTTTCAGCCCTGTCTTCCATGCAAGCCAATGGTTGTTGCAGTCCAGCCCGATCCTCTCCACTCATTCTCAGCTCTCCTGCAAACCAGTGGGAGCTGCAGCCTAGTTGGGGCAAATTCCCATAACCTCCACCAGACCTGGTTCCCATGCATGCCACTATGTATCACAGACTTGTTCATTATGTCCCACATTCCACTTAGTGCTCCTGCATGTCAATGGTCATTGAAGCCTAGTTCAAACCAACCAGCCCCACTATCCAGTCCACACATACTGCCAGGTGACTCTGTCCAATAATTTCTGTCCCAGTCCTGCTTTTCATGCTCTCCAGTGGGAGTGGTAACCCAAGAGGGAGGTGCCCACTCTTTCTCTACTAGGCCACTCCAACTCTGGGATTATGCATGCTACAGATGGTTGTGGAGATTAACTTGACAGATTTATTCTCCAGTGCAAGCCTCTGCCAGCTGCTGCTGCAGAAAAGCCCAACCAACCCTATCCCACTCTAATTAAAGTTTGCACCAGTTGGAGTAGTCAGCCCCACCTGGCTTTTTCCTGATCTAGCTCACAAGTGTTGGAGCCCTGCCTGGTCTGGTCTGGTCTGCCCCCATCCCAAATCATGCTCTACAGTGGGAGTGGCTGTTCAGCAGGGGACACAAAATTTCCTGCTGCTGGCTTTGCTGCCTCCCTCACTCTCTGGCTCTCTTGTGTGCTAGTTGGGTCCTGTGGCCACAACTGTAAAGCTCACCTCGCCTTGGCATTCCATAATGTGCCCTGGTATGCGTTGTGAATGAACCTGCCCTGACCCACACTCTGTTCTGGTGCTCAGATTTGCCACCAGGTGATGTGAACTGCTTCAGCCTGGTCTCCCCCTGACCTATGACAATTGTATGCTGGTTGGTACCTTTCTCTTCCCTGGTCTGGGTTGCTGCCTATCTAGATTCTTCCGCTCACCTCCTTTGTGTCCCAACCAAAGAGTTTCCCAAACTCATCCATTAGAACTTCCTCCCTATGCCAGATCTTGTACATACTGGTGGGTCCATGGGCTAGTTCTACTTAGCTCACCTCTTTTTTTGGCAAGAATAGTGGTCTTTCCTTGCTGGTCTACAACCCAGTCTTGTTCTTACTGTTGGATGTTTCAGCCAAGCCAAGGCTCATCCATATCCAGACATTGCTCACATATGACCCAGTAGGGGCAGAGACCTAGCCTTGTCCATCCTATATCTACCCAGGTTCTCCAAAGCACCAGATGGTGCTGGCATCTAGCATGGTTAAGTGCACTCAGCCCCAAATCACACTTATGTCCAGGGAGATTGCCTGGATTCACTTTAACTTGGTCATCACTTGGCAGCAGTGACCATGGCCTGTGTCCCCAGCATTGGGTCCAGCCTGGCTGAGGACCCCCTACAGTGGCCAGCTGCAGGAGACTACACTTTTCCAAGCCCAATGATGGAACACTGGATGAGATTTTAATTCTATACCAATTTATCCTGGACAAAATATTTACATTTTTAGAGATCATATCAACAGTTGTATTTAATCAGGCAGAAACATTGTTCATAGGGTACAAGAGGCTAGGTATGCTTAAGTTTACATTTAGAAAATATTTATCTCAGTTAAATCAAAATATCAGGTGTTGAAATCTCTACTTGAATATTCATTGCTTGTGATGAACCGGCTCGACCAGGAGCAATCAGTCTGACAGGAATAGGACCCCGGGAACGGTGGGCAAGGATTCAGCAAGTGACAAACCGACACAACAATTCAAGGCAGTTGTATCTGAGTGCATGTTCCAAAAGCAAGGCATCAGTTTATATACAATAGACTTTGCAAATGAACAATTTTTTTTTTGCTTATTTATGAGGTTACATTTTTACAAACAATTATTCCAAGAAGGTAAATGGGGCTGTATAGAAAAAATTGTTCTCTAATAGCCGAGTGACAGACTGCAGATGCTATTTCTTGTGGACGCAGTTTGACACCAACTGCAGTTTTAATCATTAAGCAGATAGCTCTCATTGTGTTTTGTGCATTAAATTGGTTTTATTTATTTATTCATTTACTAATTAAATATTTATTTATTTATTGGAAAGACAGATATACAGAGAGGAAAGATAGAGAGGAAGATCTTCCGTCCGATGACTCACACCACAAGTGAGCCGCCCAACGACCGACGTTATGATGATCTGAAGCCAGGATCCAGGAAGCTCTTCCAGGTATCCACACATGTGCAGGGTCCCAAGGCTTTGGGCTGTCCTCAACTGCTTTCCCAAGCCACAATCAGGGAGCTGGATGGGAAGTGGTGCTGCTGAGATTAGAACCGGTGCCCGTATGGGATCCAGGCACATTCAAGGCAAGGACTTTAGCCACTAGGCCATGCCGCTGGGCCCCTTCCATTGGTTTTAATATTAATTGCCTATATTTCTAGTTTTTCTTCCTCTATGGCTTTTTAAGCTATAGATTTCTACTATAATCTTCTTTTTAGGAATTCTCAAAAATAGCCCCAGGTAGGTTTACTAAAGCTAGTGACTTGATAGTTTTTACCTCATACTGCTTGCTATTCTCGTCCAGTCTCCTGTCAGAAGGTTTCATCGAACTATAAAGGAACATTGAGCCTTTGACCCACATAAATTGTATTATTCCAGCCATCAAGATAAAAGCAAAGATTACAGACAGGAATGCCAAGACCACTAAAGATGCAGCCGAATCCAGGAGGCATCATTCCTTGAAGGTTCCACTTTGGCCCGACGATTTCTCATGCAGGCTGCACTGGAGGTGGCATGACAATTTTCAGACAATGTGTGGTAGCTTAGTAGTTCATGTCCTAGATGCTCCACTTCACTTCCTGCTGCCTGCTTGTGGCCTGGGAATGCAGTGGAGTATGGCTCAAAGCTTGGGACCATGCACACATGTGGGATATTCATGCCGAATAATCCTGGTTCCTGGCTTTGGATTGTCTCAGGCTCAGCCTTTGCTTCCACTTGGGGAGTTGAACCAGCAGATGGAAGATCTTCCTCTCTGTCTCTCACTATCTCTGAAATCTGACTTTCTAATAACAGGTAAATAAAGCTTTATTAAAAATAAACATTTTTGTGATGCATTTTGATGTATTTATAAATCACTGTGATGTTGGAATCATGTGAAGCCAAACTGTGTACATGTATTAAATATGCATTTAAATAACTTTAAATGGCTAAACTTATATATAACATTTATTCAATGTAAATTTTGAAAACTTTACTGACAAGTACACTTTTAGTCAAGTATGATGAGTCTCTATATAAAGTCCAATAAAAAAAAACCAGAAACAAAATTGTGTTGTTCTCAGTGCAGACTGAATGGCTGGGCTAATTCTCAACTCCAATTGATAAGTATGCCTGTGGCTCTGATTGAACCCAGTATTAGCTAAAAGCACTTCTCTGGAATCAGTCAGCACCCAGCTGGGTCACAGGAGCAGCTGTTGCCCTGCCCACATCTTAAGTAAAGGCTATAAAAAGCACCCTACAGGGCCCGGCGAGGTGGCACAAGTGGGTAAGTCCTCGCCTTGCATGCCCGGGATCCCATATGGGCGCCGGTTCTATCCCAGCAGCCCCGCTTCCCTTCCAGCTCCCTGCTTGTGGCCCAGGTAAGCAGTCGAGGACGGCCCAAAGCTTTGGGACCCTGCACCCACGTGAGAGACCCAGAATAGGCTCCTGGCTTCGGATCGGCATAGCATCGGCCATTGCGCTCACTTGGGGAGTGAGTCATCGGACGGAGGATCTTCCTCTCTGTCTCTCCTCTGTATATATCCGCCTTTCCAATAAAACATAATAAAAATAAATCTTTAAAAAAAAAAAAAAAACACCCTACATTCATAAGGTTTCTCCCCTTGTGTGTACCCTCTGATGTCTGATAAGGTTTGACCTATGAGAAAAAGCTTTTCCACAATGACTACATTCATATGTTTTTTCCCCAGTATGGATTCTCTGATGAGATCTAATGCAGGACTTATCAGAAAACATTTTTCCACAATCACTGCATGCATAAGGTTTTTCCCCGGTATGGATTCTCTGATGTGTAATGAGTTGTGACTTCTGAATAAAAGCTTTTCCACACTCACTACATTCATAAGGTTTTTCCCCTGTGTGGATTCTCTGATGTGTAATGAGTTGTGACTTCTGAATAAAAGCTTTTCCACACTCACTACATTCATAAGGTTTTTCCCCTGTGTGCATTTTCTGATGTCTAATGAGGTATGATTTACAAATAAAGCCTTTTACACACTCACTGCATTCATAAGGTTGTTCCCCAGTGTGGATTCTCTGATGTACACGGAGACTGGACTTAAGAGAAAAGCATTTCCCACACTCACTACATTCATAAGGTTTTTCCCCTGTGTGGATTCTCTGATGTGCAATGAGTTGTGACTTACGAATAAAAGCTTTTCCACACTCACTGCATTCATAAGGCTTTTCCCCAGTGTGGATTTTCTGATGCCTAATGAGGTGTTGCTTACAAGTAAAAGCTTTTCCACACTCACTACATTCATACAGTTTTTCCCCTGTGTGGATTCTCTGATGTGCACGGAGACTGGACTTATGAGAAAAGCATTTTCCACACTCACTACATTCATAAGGTTTTTCCCCTGTGTGGATTCTCTGATGTGCACGGAGACTGGACTTATGAGAAAAGCATTTCCCACACTCACTACATTCATAAGGTTTTTCCCCTGTGTGGATTCTCTGATGTATGATTAGGGTTGACTTATGAGAAAAAGCTTTTCCACACTCACTACATTCGTGAGATTTTTTCCTTGTGTGGATTCTCTGATGCTCAATGAGAGACACTTGCTTGTGAAAGGCTTTTCCACGCTCATTGCATTCATACGGATTCTCTGCACTTTGAAGGATCTGATTTCTAATGAGTTCCGACTTCTGGTCCATGTTTTCTTCACATTCCTTGGACACATACAGATTTTCTCCTGTGTCAGTTCTCAGTGTGGTGGTAAGGCAAGATTTATAGTAGCCAGCATGAATTGCTTCTCGCACAATGACAGGTTGCTGATCACATGGGTCTTTGTTATCATCTTGATCACACATAAGGACTATCCTCTTCCCACTGAAGCTTTTCTCTTTCCCATTGTGTTCAATGGACTGCTGACAAATGTGGATCTTGTCAAGATGACTGAGATTTTCCTTACTTTCAAGGTTGTTCTCAGGGACCTTAGAAGCATGCTTCTTTTCAAAAGGCATTTCATCATGCTTCCTGTGGGTAAAGAGGATTTAAAATAAACTGTGATGTCATTTCCTCTCTCCTTTCAAAAGGCATCAGATCTCTGAGCCCCTGCTTGGAGTTGCTTTCTTCCTCCCCTCTTCCATGTTCAACTGGTCAACTAACAAGTAAAATTTTGGTCTGCAACCTGTTTCCATTTTCTGTTTCTATACTATGTTAAAGGAAAGATTCACTGAGCTTTCCTGGTAACATTTGGTTTGGTGCACAAAATGGTATTTGAAAAAGAATTTTAGCTCTTATACAAGACCTATGAGGGTAGACTTAGGAAAGAGAAGACTCCACAAGGTTTATACTGAACCTGTGTAAATGACCTTAGGTACAACATGCCTCTTCACAAACATGAACACACCCACCTACACACTTACTCCCCAGCCACTTCCTGGTTCCAGCTAAACCTCAACATGGATTGTTCTTGGATAGGATACAGCACACAGCAATGTGAAGTGGAATTGGAGAAAGACTAGACTGAGCCAGGTTGCAACACATGCTGGTGGAAAATGAAGTGAGGTAAGCCATGGCAGTCAGCGCAATGTTGGTGCTGGACTCATGATCTCTGGGTACTGGAGATCCAGTGGGGCCCTGGTAGCTTTGTCTGGGCCCTTCGGCATAGCTGTGTGATGAGCCCAGTTTATGAGCCCCAGAGCTGTATGTGTTTCCTGGCCTGGGTGCTTGGCTGGCCAGTACTTTGGGTCCTGGGTCTGTGAGTCCTGGGGGTAGAGGGTGTGACAGGCCGGAATCTATGCTTAGGGTTGTCCCCCACACACTGGCCATATGGTAATTAAGAATGTTAAGTCCCTAGTTGTAGTGGAAATGTATTTTTGCCCTCTTTCACTAATCTTTAGGTCCCTCCTTCTGTGATGCACTTCCTCCCTAAACTGAATCAAGACTAAGTTGGAGCATCAGAATTGTAATAGGAATGTGTTACTGGTTGACATGTGCCATCCATTGAGAACTTCAAGACCACAGGATTGGGGCAGCTGATATCAGGCCTCAAGGTGAAACAATTAATAGAACTATCCTTAGGAAAGCCCCCTTGACCAGGTGTGAAAAGTAAGTGCCAGAGATTGTGAAGGCTTCTGTATAAATAAAGAGTACAGCTTTCTTGCCTTGTCCATTATGATCCTGAAACTGTAGTCATCCACTTATTTTTTTTTTATGCCTACTCCACACATCCTTCTTAAGTTCTGAACTTGGCTAAGCTGGACTCCTGCAATTGGCAGACAGCTGGATGTTAAGTGAGGCTGCCAGGGTACAAACCAGTGCCCTATATGATTCCAGTGAATGCAATGTGAGAGCCAGCCACTAGGCTACCATGCCATGACTTCAGGTTTGATCTTTTGATATGACTTATATAGATGACCCCCTCTACACTTCATACATGAGTTCAGAAAAAGCCAGTTTCTTCAGATTTGCCACTCATGTGGCTTCCTACCTCTGAGAGCTGAACAGCCAGAGAATGGCAGGTGTTTGAAGCTGTGTAGTAGTAGCTATTCCCTTGCTGGTTGAGAGACAACCAATGGGAAGTGTCTTACCCACAAGTTCCTGTACAGACAAGCAATGCTCAGAGGACACTTAAAAATGTGAGACCCTTCTGAAAAACATTGCTGTCTCCATTCAAGAGGCACACCATCTCCTGTCTCTCTCGCAAGAAATGCTATTTGATTCCCTCTGTTTTCTACATTCACCTGGGCACTTGGCAAATAAAATTGCTGTCTGCAAATTAAAAAAAAAAAAAAGGAGAAAGAATGAAATCCTATTTCTATTGTATATTGTTGGGGTATGTTTTAAAGTGATGTTTGGGGATGATTGTGAATGATAAGTTTGATAAGTAGAGGGGTGGATGGTTATGAGATATTTAAATGTTTGATTGTTTGGAGAGATGGATTAGGTAGTTATGGTGGGGAGGGGTGGGGGAGGGGTTGTGAGAATTGAGAATTATAATTTATGTAAATGTTGAGTTTGTGGTTTGTGGTTTTAAATATGATAGTTGATAAGATTATTGGGTAATGTGATTAGGATATTGTTAGAATTTGTATTTGGTGGATTTAGTGTGTAAGATTTGTTGTAGTGTAGTTTAATGTGGTAGTGTTGGGTGATTTTATTTTTTGGGTTTAATGAAGAATAGTGTTTTTGATGATAAGTTATAAAATTTTTTGGTGTTATGGTTAGTGGGATTTTAGTTAGGTGTGGGTTTAAATTTAAGGGTGTTGTGTATTTTTATGGTTTTAGGGGGTTATTTAAGGATGGGGGTTAGTGTATGAGTTTTAAATGATTGTTGGTTGTATTTGAAATGGGATTAAGAGGTGTATAATTTTTTGAATTAAAGGTCTTATGTTGAGGGTGTGGTGGTGTGGGTTTATTGTGGTTGGGTTATATTGAAGATGAATGTTTATGTATATATTTATGTGTATGGGGGCCCCCCCTTGGGGCAAAAAAATTTTTGCTAAAATTAACCTATACATGAGAATAGAGAAAGCCTTGTCTCCACTTATTGTCCTTCTGGAAGAAACTCAAAGTAAAAATCAAATATAATTCCAGTCAACATTTACTGAAAGAAGTATCAGCTTCCCTGCTGACCTACCTGGAAGTCTCTGCTTCACAGATTTCTCCACTGTCCATGGTGCTGATTCTTGCTCCAACTTGAAGATCACATCAGGCTTTGTCATGGAGTACCCTGTTAATGGAGAATGATGCAGATTTTCCAAAATCACCACTAGTCCTACCAACTACTATAGTTTTTAAACTCCTCTTTCATTAGTAAATGGTACAGAAGTGTTCTGCTTAGGCATGACAGAACTTTACTCACCCACAGACAGCAGATTGTTATAGGTCTCAAGCATCACCTCCCTGTACAGGGTCCGCTGAGTATTGTCCATTGTCTGCCATTCTTCCTGGGTAAAGTCCACAGCCACATCTTCAAAGGACACCAACACCTGTAACAGCACATGTCTCCTCAGTTCTGGATCATTCAATAGAAACACTGACAGTGCATTCTCTGTATATTTGATTTGCAACTTCCATGTCTGCAGTTCAATTTACAATTCATACAGCATAATAGAATAACAGTTAAATGAAAATATCTTGTGCTGTATTACTTTGGCAATTCCAATAGTACAACAGAATATTCCTTATTCTCTTAAATGTTGTTTTCTCTAAAGATTTTCATTCTAATGAACTGTGGAAGGCATTGCTAGAATAGCTCTCCAAGTGGAAAATATGACTCAGTGTTTCCTTTATTGCCACTCTACTTTTCAACTAAATTAATATAAGTGACCATATTGGCACTGAGCTGAAATATTAACTCAGGACCTATAATACTAAGCTGAGTTTTATTCTTCTGTGTGTGTTCAATTTGCATCTTCTAGGAATGCAGCTTAATTTACAATCTATATGGCAATATAAGCTAAAAACAAAATAAAACATTTTGTCCTGTATCATGTTTGCAATTCTGAAGCTACAATTTCATTATTATTCTGTATCAGATTGTTTTCTATAATAAACATAAAATGAGTTCATTGTGCAATCTTTAGATACACATGAGCTAAATATCATGCTAGATTAGATAATTAAGATAAATGCTTACTATTGCACAAGATAATGAGAAAATTTTTGACTAGCTTACTAATGATTTTCTCATACATAGATACTTAAAAATATTATGAAGCAATAATAAAATTCAATTTTCTTTTTTCAAAGTGAAAATACTGAAAATATGTTAAAACTGTGCTTGCCTAAATGAGTAATTATTTCCTTCAGCTTATACTGGAATTAAATATATATAATATATCATCATATGTACCAATAATACATATCATATATGTACATACTCAAAAGTAAAAAAAATATGTAATACACATACATGTAATTCTAGTGTATAAATATAAAACAATATATATTTATTTCTTTTTTTCGCTTTTGAGTATGCACATACTAAAATTTCTACTTTGTTTTTGCTTTTCTTTTTATGGAATAACATAATTAAACTGAAGCTTTAATTTCTACATAGTAAACTACAGCTTAGGAGGGAAACAAATGATATTCTCATACAGAACTATCTTCTTCTGACAATTAGTTGGTATCAGGCAGTCACAGCCTGTCAGCTGAACAGAAGATATACACATAAGACAAATGCCATGCTGTAACAAACCTAATTTTTTTTCATTATTACTATTATTATTTTTTTATGTTCTGGAAGCCCTTTAGCATTTACCAGTTTTTTGAGTTTGCCTTTGGTTTCAGTAATTTATTTACTAATTTTAACATAAAAACAGTTCATGTAGCAGATATACATACATTTAACAGTATGATACATCTTTTGAATCTTGCCTTTTCCCCTGTTACTCTCTTAAGCATTTGAAATAACATGTTTTAAATTCACATTGTACTCAAGATCTTAATTTTTCAGTAAGTGATTCAAAGAATAGTAAAATGACCAATTTGATAGTTAAGCACTATAAATATAATGAAATGAAAACTTATGTTTCAATCATAGAATTTACAAACACATATCATTTAAAGTACAATAGGATATCATCATTTGCTGTGTGACAAAGATATAAATCAAAATCAACAAATCATGTTTACATCAATACTGATATATACGATTGTTTCTTCCCCACCTTTTTTGGTGTTGCTTGTGATTCTTTAAGCTACTCTACATAACAAAGTATCATATTTGTATATCTGTATTTAGGTTATTTCTGTTTTTAAAAAGATTTATTAATTTTTATTACAAAGTCAGATATACAGAGAGGAGGAGAGACATCTGATGATTTACTCCCCAAGTGAGCGCAACAGCCGGTGCTGTGCCAATACGAAGCCAAGAGCCAGGAACTCTTCTGGGTCTCCCACGCAGGTGTAGGGTCCCAAAGCTTTAGGCCATCCATGACTGCTTTCCCAGGCCACAAGCAGGGAGTTGCAACAGAAGTAGAGCTGCCGGGATTAGAATCGGCGCCCATAT